ATATTCGGCTTTTTCTTTGTTCAAGTTATTACTAAGGAAATTCTATGATCGAGATAATTAATATAAAATTATTTTGAAAAAGAAATTAGTGCATGAAAGTGTTGCAAATAAAATGCAGAAAAAAGCAGTTGATGTATTGAGCCTCATATATGCGATACATAGAGCTTTTTTTCGTGACTTGAACATATGATCTCTAAGTTGCTACGGAGCAAGGGTGGAACCAGTAAGAGTTCAGGGTAGGTAATTGCTCTCTGCATACTTATTTGTAAGATAGAAAATTGAATTTATGCTAATTTGTTTAGTTTTTTTGTCTATCTTCATCTAGCTTATTCTTTTGAATGGCATAAATTTGTTGAGTTTTTCTTTAAGTATGAGCTAATTGAGGACAAAACTTTGTTAGAGGAAATAAATAATTAGGGATAAATTACTACTAGGGGTGTAAACGAGTCTAGTAGCTAGAGTTGAATATCAATCTAATCGAGTTAATCTTCTTAGCTGGACTCGAGCTAGACTTGCTAAAAAATTTATAGGCTCGAGCTTATTTGGAAAGCTAGATCTTGAATCGACGTTGTGCTATATTCTTAGTTTTAATTTAAACTTTTTGTATTTTTAGATATTTAATTTTTAATATAGAATTAATTTAAAAAGATTTAAATATATTTGATACGTCCACAAAAAATTGCCTTGATCGAGCACGAATCTCGAGGCATATTCCAATTGGAATTTTTTGAGATCATATGGATTCTAATTTCAGCAAACTTATAATCAAATTGAAAATCTCAAAGGGACGAACCGAACAACACCGAAATTTGTCCAACCCAAGCCCAAATGGGTCCAAATCGGAGGCTCGGACCACATTTGGAAGGGTTAAAGCATTATTTGGATAATGAAATGATATCCAAATATGGCATGCTTATATTCAAATCGAGCGTCTCGGCGAGACGAATCCAACGAGCCCAAGATCTCTGAATTCCGACACTGTTAAAGCACTTAAACAATTAAAAAACTCTCTATGATCGAGGGAATCAATATGAGCCATCCGATGGAGCACTCTGAACCTGCCCCGGATCTTCTCTAGATTTACGGAGTGCGCCACTCATGAAAATCTATAAATAGACCCCCACTCTCTACATGAAGGGGGACCTTTAGCTTGAGATTGAAGAGAGCTCTGAAGCTTCAAGAGCTCTAGCACCACCGCCGCCTGTCGCCGGACCACCGCCCGGCTGCCGCTTGTCGTCGGATAACCGCCCGGCCGCCGCCTGCCGCCGGACCACCGTCCGG